TAAAATCCTAAGATTTAAAACAATTAAGTTGTATTATTTATAATTGATATCTTGAGAACACATGTCCTCTCTTTCCTTCATCTTTATTAACCATCAGTATAATGGAGACTGTAAGGGAGATTTGTTGTTGTTGTTAACACTGTAAACTCAACCAAGCGGTATGTGTTTTTTGAAAAGACTGTTTTTTTGCTGATAATTCCCAGATCACAGATATTTAGAAGACTAGCATATGTATTTAGTTCTTTGGGAAATTTTATTTATTTTTATTTTATTTTATTTTTTGAGATGGAGTTTCACTCTTGTTGCCTGAGCTGGAGTGCAGTGGTGCAATCTCAATTCACTGCAACCTCCACTCTGAGTTCAAGTGATTCTCCTGCCTCAGCCTCCCAAGTAGCTAAGATTACAGGTATGTGCTACCACACCTAGCTAATTTTGTATTTTTAGTAGAGACGGCATTTCATCATCTTGATCAGCTAATCTGCAACTCTTGACCTTAGGTGATACACCGGCCTTGGCCTCCCAAAGTGCTGGGATTACAGGTGTGAGCCGTGGCACCTGGCCCTTCCCTTGGGAAACTTTAAATTGATCAGTCTTTTTCTCTGTATAAATCAGCAAGCTGTATTGATACTTAAATGGCATGTTTTTAATCATGGGATAATTTGTTCCAAGGAATTTTCAATTTTTCCAAATAATTTAGGACATTAGTATAATAAGGCTACGTTTCCTGGGTAATGTGTCCTGATAAGGAATTACCTTGATTTTCATTTTTAAATACAGTGGGTATGTTACTTTTGTTTTGTGATAGGCAGTAGTTGTCTCTAATAATAACCAATTAAGTTTATGATTTAGAAAGAAAATACTTTTGCACAGTATTTTCTTATTAATGACACTTATAAAATAAGATTCCATTTAGTATGAAAAACTAAAACCAGTTAGTGTTATCTGATCATGTCAAGAATGTATTCCACGTGAGAGAATTTTTCAGAAAAAGAAAATTAGGTATCTAATTTTCAAATTATGAAACTTAATAAAACTAATAATTTTATTATAAATTCTAAAAATTACTTTAAAAATAATTTAACATATACATGTGTATGTATGTAGATACATGAGATGAGACAGAAAAATATTTCAGATACTCAGAAAAGTACAGAAACTTTTGATGAACACCTGTGTAGCCACTCTATTGAACCCTAACATTTTTCCCCTGACTTTTCTAAGTGTATAGAATAATAATCAGTCATTTAAAGGTGATTTGGGTAAATTTTTAAGAATGAAAACCGGTTATTGTTCTGTGTTCTGGCCAGCTTATTTTTATTCAGTTATTTTAGACTTAAGAGTGGCATATTCTTTGGATTCACCCGTTAATAATCCCTAATGCCACAGGTTTACTCTTAATGTATAGCAGTGAATCTTTCTTCATTTGTCCTCTTGTCTGAAGCAAGAATGGAGCAAAGTTGTTTAAAAATGATTTTTTTTTTCTAAGAGACAAGGTACGTCATCCAAGATGGACTTAAACTCATGGGCTCAAAGAATCCTCCGGCCTCAGCCTCCCAAGTAACTGGGATTCCTGTTGCGGGTCACCACGCCTGGCTTTGAGCAAATTTTTTATATAAACAGCCTGGATTTACGGTGTTATTCCTATGGCACAAATATGATATTTGTCACTAATAACTGTATCCCAAGTTACTGCAGATTGTGATATTGAACAAGACAAACTGGGATTTGGAATCCTGAGGCTATCTCTGATTTGGACAAGTTAGGTAACCACCATGTGCTTTAACATTTTTGATTGAACAAGTTCTGAGAATTAACTAATGCAAATATGTGGCACTTAGAAGTTGGTCAATAAAAGTTTTTAGTATCACTAGCCTTCTTTCAAGTTGTTGAACTTACTAAAAGTATGATTTCTAAATGAGTGGGAACATTTCTGTACACAAATATTCAGGTATTCTCTCCAACTTTCCAAACAAAGCAGATTTGAACATTAAATTGAATCATCCAACTTTTGGAACCCCTGCTCATTGTTTTCATTGTATCTTGGTTTATTTTTATACCTGAGGTCTGGTAGGCACATAAAAAGTGCCTTATGAACCTTAAACTAAGTGAAAATAGATTGTTCAGATGAAAGGTATGTGGATAAATCAGTTTTGCGGCGCTTCTGCTAGAGAACTCTTGCCAAAACTTGTATCTTTGTTTTGTTTTTCAGGGACTGTAAAATGTGATCACTGAGTCAGACTTGCTGTTTTCTCTGACCCCTGGCTCTCTCTCTTAAGACTCTGAAGTTTGCCAGCCATAGAATGTTTAAAAGGCAGAGGAGGCCTTAGCTCAGGGGGAATTTGTTTATTTAAAGAAAAAATATTAAATTCAAACATTCTACCGTGTCATAGCTAGTGTAGTCATGTTAAGAGTTAGTGAGTTCTTTTGATTCTTTCCTGGTGGTCATGATACCTAAAGGTAACATAAATTTGAAGGAGTTAAACTTCCTGAGATTACTTGGAACCTTGTAATGTAATACCAAACAGAAATCCCTAACAAAGTGGGAAGGAAGGGAATGCCATTTGTTTTACTGGTTTCTGTTTTTTAAAGGGACTCTTTTGATTCAAATCTTCTACCAATCTATTCTAGAGTTATGGTACGGATGATTTAAAAACAAAACAATTAAAAACACACACTATGATGGATACATCTTCATGATTTCTTTGAAGTTGGGAACATGAAAGTCTTTTAAAAGGAACAGTATATTTTTACAGATGGTTTAGACACAAAGAAAGATCTAAAAATTGATGATGTTATGTTTGAAGATTACCATCTCCCAAATGTATAATTTACTTTGCTTACAAATTCTTTGCCAGATAAGGAAAACTAAGGCAGCTATTTTGGACTTGCCCAGGACACTAGGGCAGATTTCTTTGATGAGATGACATAAAAACAAAAGTCCTAAAGGAAGAAGCCAGGGAGAAAGAGAGAGAGAGAGAGAGAGAGAGAGAGAGAGAGAGAGAGAGATCTGTTGTTACTGGAAGAGGGAAAAACAAGTCCTGAGACCCTGAAGTGAGAAGGTGCTTGATGAGTTTAAGGAAAGGAAAGAGACCCGTGTGGCTTGAATGGGGTGAATAAGGGAGAGAGTGGTAGATGAGGTCAGAGAGATGGGGGTGGAGGACAGCAGATCATGGTCTTTATGGGCCTTTGTTAGAACTTTGGCTTTCAGACTAGCGAGCTGGACTCAATTGGAGGATTTGATTAGAAGAATGACATGATCTCACTTTCTTTTGAAAATGGTTAATCTCACTGACTTGTTGAGGTGAGTAAGAAAGAAGCTGGGAGATCAGACAGGAAACTATTATTATACTAATGTGTATGCAAAATAAGGTGGCTTAGACCATAGTGATAAGAGTGGAAGTGGTAATAATATGAATATCTTTTGAAAGTGCTCCTAGGATGAACACTACATGGCTAGTGACATTTTAAAATAATGGACGGTAGGCTGGGCATGGCAGCTCACACCTGTAATCCCAGCACTTTGGGAAGCTGAGGCAGGTGGATCACTTGAGGCCCGAAGTTCAAGACCAGCCTGGCCAACATGGTGAAACCTCGTCTCTACTAAAAATACAAAAACAAGCTGGGTATGGTGGCACATGCCTATAATCCCAGCTACTTGGGAGGCTGAGACAGGAGAATTACTTGAAGCCGGGAGCAGAGACTGCAGTGAGCCAAGATTGTGCCACCGCACTCCAGCCTAGGTGACAGAGTGAGACCCTGTCTCAAAAACAAACAAACAAACAAAAAAACCCCAGGAAATAAATGAATAAAATAAAGTACTGGAAGGTTAAATATTTCATCAATTTAAGTTAAAAAAAATTCATCAGTTTAATAATCATTTCAGTAAATCCTTATGAACACTTATAGCATGGAAGTCATTGTTTTAGGTGCTTGAAAAATACCAGTAGGCCAAGTGTGGTGGCTCACACTTGTAATCCCAGCACTTTAGGAGGCCAAGACAGACAGATCACCTGAGGTGAGGAGTTTGAGACCAGCCTGGCCAACATGGTGAATCCCTGTCTCTACTAAAAATACAAAAATTACCCAGGCATGATGGGGCAATAGTAGTCCCAACTACTAGGCAGCCTGAGGCAGGAGGATCGCTTGAACCTGGGAGGTGGAGGTTGCAGTGAGCTGTGATCTCGGCACTGCACTTCAGCTTGGGTGACAGAGTGAGACTTTGTCTCAAAAAAAAGACAAACCAGTAAATAAAACCAACAAAAACCCCTTCTGTGGTTTGCATCATAATTATGGGGGAAAGTTGACAATAAACAAACATAATAATTGCTTATAGCAATTAATGATTATAATTGTTTATAATAAATAAGCAATTAATTTGTTGTGTTTAGAAAGTACTATATTAGGGCCCCCATGTATTTCTTTTTTTTTTTTTCCAGTCTATAAATGGCACTCAGGAGTTGTAAAGTCCCACTGGGCGATAGGAATTGAGGATTGAAGAGTTCTGGTCCTGTGGAACAAATAGTCACTTTTCTATCCCTCCCACCTCAGTCTCAGCCCTATTAATGTTTTTTATGAGAAGGTTGCTCGAGAAGTGTTTGAGGCTGGGCATGGTGGCTCACACCTGTAATCCCAGCACTTTGGGAGGCTGAAGCGGGAGGGTCCTTGAGTACAGGAGTTCAAGACTAGCCTGGGCAATGTAGTGAGACCCTGCCTCTACAAATAATAATTTTAAAAATTGTTGGGCGTGGTGGCATGTACCTGTTGTCTCAGCTACTCAGAAGGCTGAGGTGGGAGGATCGCCTGAGCCCAGGAGATTGAATCTACAGTAAGCCATGACAGTACCACTGAACTCTAGCCTGAGCAACAGAATGAGGCCCTGTCTCAAAGGGGAAAAAAGTGCTTTGAGAATTCTTTCTGGTTACTACAATTTAGGTAGTCATCCTTAGAGAGTTTTGTTGTATTCAAGAGTAACATTCTTCATAACTTACCATATATTTCAGAAATGACCATTAAGAAGTAGATGCCCAGATGCAAAAGTGATGAAACAGTCCATTTGTCATAAAGTAAGATGCAGCTGTGTCGTGTCAACCACCTTGGTAAGTGTGGCCAAATCTTATTGTTTTTTTTTAACTATACCTGCTTTGAAAATCACTTAATTGAAAAATATGATAGACAGGCTGAGCATGGTGGCTCATGCCTGTAATCCCAACACTTTGGTGGGCCAAGCTTGGCCAACATGGTGAAACCTTGTCTCTACTAAAAATACAAAAATTAGCTGGGCGTGGTGGTACATGCCTGTAATTTCAGCTATTCGGGAGGCTGAGGCATGAGAATTGCTGCTTGAACCCCAGAGGTAGAGGCTGCAGTGAGCCAAGATTGTGCCACTATACTCCAACCTGGGCAACAGAGTGAGACTCTGTCTCAAAAAAAAAAAAAAAAAGAAAAAAAGGTAGATATTAAAATTACCTTGTATTTTTGGTTTTAATTTGTAGTACAAATTCTATCATACAGCTCTAGACAGTATTTCTGTGTTGTATCTTAAAACATAATTTTGATCATTATACTTCTTGCATATTTTTTAAAAATTAAATTTGTTTCATATGTTTCTCCCTAGGATTAAAAGTATACCCTTCAGTTTGGGGTTTCTTATTGGAGTGGTGAAAATATTCTGCAATTAGATGAGGTGGTGATGGTTGCAAACTTTGTGAATACGTTTAAAAAAACACTTTAAAGAAATACATTTTACCTTATATAAATTACACCTAAAAAAAAAAAAGTACCCTTCAGAACATCAAGTCTTAGAGTAAAACTATTTGACTTACAGCTCTTTTAGAACATAAAAATTGCCACATATCATCCTGTACCTAGCAAAATGACTTGACATTTAGTGAATAGAGTAAGTATTTTTGAAATAACAAAAGTAATACATTGTCGAAGTTTTTTAGTAACACATACTTTTGTTATTAGAGACCAACTGTCTCTCAAGCTTTTGTAATATCAAATGTCATGTCATAATATTCTGAATGTACTATGTTAGCATTTGTAACTTTTCCTTTTCAATAGACTGTCTTGAAACTAACATCTCAACTTTCTACCTGAAAATTTTTTAGGAACAAAATTGTATCTGTTTTTCTCAGAAGAGAATTCCACAAGGTAAGAAATTGTAAATATAGTAACAAAACCAATATAGTTGAGGAAGACTTAATTGCTCTTGATTTTTAAACATTTGTTTCCATGTGTTTATTTAATGTATTTTCTTGATTATTACAAGATTGTCACTAATTTATTAGCTACTGTTTTACTATGTCAGAATTTGCTAGCAAGACATAGATCACCTTGTTTGAATTTAGGATTAAAGGGTATGATCAAAGTAACCACCTTTAAAATTCAGATACTGCTTCTAATGGTCAGAGCTTATTAAGTGGGTTTATCCATTTTAGGAAAAAAGTTCTTCCGTTGGGGCTCCTTTATCTTTTACGCAGTGGACATTGCCTACGTGTCTTGGAGGAGTAGAAGGTTCACAGAAGCTCTCTTAGGGACTGACAGATTTGGTTGTCTGGTGAGGGTTGCATCCTCCAGAGGGGAGGAATGCTGTATCCTTGCATGCTGGAAGGTGGAGGGCAAGTAAAACTAATGCTGAGCATGCAAAACTTCTTTTATAAAGGCCTCAATTAGTTCATGAGAAAGGAGTCCTCATTACCTGATTACCTCCTAAAGATCCCACCTTTTAATACTATCACATTGACCATTAAATTTCAGCGTCTAAATTTTGGAAGGGACACATTCAAACTATAGGAAGAAGGGAATTCACACGTCTGCTAAAAGTGAAGCCAAGATTAGGGCTTTTTAAAAGAAGCAGTAATTTATGTATCAGCACTTAAATATTTATAAGATCTTTGGTGGGGAGACCAGAAAGTACTGAAGTTGATACTGACTTGTTAGTCTATTCATTGTTGAATATTCCCTCCATCCTCTTTTAAAAATAAAATACATCGGGTAACATAGTCCTTTTCTCCAGTTTCTTTAATTTTTGAGTCTTTTGTATGGCATAGTAATTTAATTATTCTTACTTTGTTATGTTACCACACTGCATAAATAGAATAGGTAGTATTCTCATTTTACAAATGAGGAAACCAGTAGTAGGATTGGCTTTAGGTTCTTTTTCTAATCTTATACTGCTTATTCATTACCTTATAAGCAATGAATACTGTAGGCCATAGTCGAAAGAGCTTTTATTAAATTAATATGGATTTGGTCCACCTCTGTTTTACCTTTTGGTTGAATTGAATTTTTATCGTGATGAAAGGGCACTGTCTAAAAACACTTTTAGCCTTGCAGTTTTTTTTTTTTAATTGTTATTATTGCTGTTTTCTTGAATTAATACAGCTACTGTAGTTTTCTTTTGGTTAGTATAGTATCTCCTTTTCTTTTTTTTTTTTTTTGGAGGGAGGAAATGAAATCTTGCTCTGTCACCCAGGCTGGAGTGCAGTGGCGCAGTCTAGGCACACTGCAGCCTCCATCTCCTGTGTTCAAGTGATCCTCGTGTCTCAACCCCCTCAGTAGCTGAGATTATGGGCGCATAATATATATACCTATATATAAAAAGTATAATTACCAGAATAGTCTTAAATTGAAAGAAGTTGTTTCTAACCAGGAAGAACCTCAAGCCTGAGAAGTTTATAAAACACACGTATACAACAAAAATATAAGCAATGAATACTATAGGTTGTAGTCAAAGGAGCATTTTAAATTAATATGGATTTGGTACACCTTTGTTAATTTCTAGTTGTTTTTTTGAGACAAAATTTCGCTCTTTTTGCCCAGGCTGGAGTGCAATAGCACAATCTTGACTTACCACAACCTCCACCTCGCAAGTTCAAGTGATTCTCCTGCCTCAGCCTCTTGAGTAGCTGGGATTACAGGCATACACCACCATGTCTGGCTAATTTTGTATTTTTGGTAGAAATGGGGTTTCTCCATGTTGGTCATGCTGGTGTCCAACCTCAGGTGATCCACCTACCTCAGCCTCCCAGAGTACTGAGATTACAGGTGTGAGCCACCATGCTCGGCCGTATTTCTAGTTTTGAGCATGCCTGTTTACATAAAGGTTATGTGTCTAGTTTGATGGATGGGAAATTAGAATGAGCAATTTGATCTTGTGTTTTTTATATAGTAATCCCCTCCCCCTGAATTATTTGTTTGTAGTGTGAAAATCAGGTATACTGGATTATAAACCACTGTCTTGAGGCTTAATTTGGTTCAGACCCTGCTTTATTGGTAGAGGCAGAGATTTAGATTGGTTTTGAGTAATCCAGTGCTATTCTGGGTCATTTTAGGTCTGAAGGGTCTTCAGATATATAATAGTAACTACTTGGCTTACATCTAGCTTACATTTAAGCCTGTGGAACAACTGTGAGAGATTTCACATGTAGGTGGTGGAATACAGAAATGCAGATTGATAGTCTCCTTGGAGTTTATGGGACTTTGAAGTTTAGCAGTGTTTTTGTTGTTCAAAAATAGACTATTATATTAAAAAGAGATGGGTCTTCTGACTCTGGTTTCTTACTGTGCATTAGTGCTTTAGGTGTTACAGTTCATTTTCACTGAGGTTGTATGTAATACACAAAAATGTGGATTGTTTTATAATTTTATGAAAGAACACTTATTTTAGATACCTTTTTGTTTCATGTTTCACTCTTAGAGCTCCCTATGAGCTGGCTTGATTTTATTTTTCCAGCTACGTGCTTTTAGATTAAAAAACAAAACAAAATTCAGAATAGGTTGAAACTCAACACAAATTGCTGCCACAGAACAAAAGTGCTGATCAAGTTAAATCAACCCCTATAATGTGTATTGAAAGGAAAACCTCTCCTCTCTCCCCCAATTTGAAGAACAAGCGTTTTCCCTGCCAAGAAGGACTGACTTTAAATGGACCAGCTGTCCGTATTAGGAGTACAGGGTTGCTAAGGTGACCATGGCTGTTTGGAGAAGAATGCAGCTGAGAGGGCAAGTTCTTGTGTGAGCCGAGGGAAGGAATGTGGTGTGATTGTGCATCATTCCTCCTAATCACATGCTCATAAAGTGCTGTGTGGGCAGCATGTAGAAACTACAAGTCTGAGTCCTGGAGCTTGTGTGTGGTTGAAATCATTTTGTTTTCACGTAAGCCACAGGCTTACAGTTTAGATGGAAAAGGTCTGCCTTGTATGTATGTGTGTTTGGGGTTAAAGTTATAGACAGTGCTTTGTTGGTAGATGAAATGGGAATGAATTTATTTTGCTTGATAGATACATATTTTTATTGTTTTTTAAAAATTATTTATCTTGGAACAATGTTCTTTCCAATTTATCCTTATCAGTCACATATACAATATTAATAGTCCCAAAGTACATGATGTGTTCCTTGTAATTGTGTATTTCTTGGCACTCTAATTTCAGAATTATTTGGAAAGCCCTAAAAATGTGTTGTCTACTTGTTCCATTTCTTCTTTTTAAAAAACTGAGTGTTTTTTCCTTGAGGCATCCAAAGATAGGTTCTGAGTGTGTCTGACAAATAAGTAGCCAGTTTGGTAAAAATAATGATTCAAGGACAGTGAGAAGAGTCAAACTAACATTCTGCTTGCCTGAGCTGCTAAGATTTTACTATGGGTGCCATTACTAATACTTGAAATGAGATCTAGATATATACGTTGATGTAGATACTTAAATGAAATGTGTTTTTTGTTATCTTTTCTTCGAAATCCCTACAATGATGTGTTGATCTTAAATGAGGGCATAAATGTGATATATTTAAGATGTGAAGTAGATGGAACAGTGGCAGCCCTTTATTACACTAGCATCATATTATTTTTCATAATCAGATAGTCTATTTGCTTTGAAATGACTGCTGTTTAAGTGATTAATTTATAAAAGTATGGAGGGAAATGAAAGGATTAAAATAATTTGACCTCCTGTGCTCAAGCAATCCTCCCACCTAGAATATGGCTAGTTTTTATAAATGTTCCATGTGTATTTGGAAAGAATGCAAATTTTTCAGTTATTAAGTACGGTGTTACATTTATGTCTAAGAACTTGTTAATTGTTCTATTAGTATCTTCTCTGTCTTGGTTTTGTTTTGGATTCAGGTTTGGTTTTATTTGGGAACTGATTTATCAGTTTCTCTACTAAGGAAGACATAGTAATTAATGTCTCCCACCATGGCAGTAGCTTTATCAGTTTCTCCTTGTAGATGTGTTAATTTTTGCTTTACTTATTTTGAATGTATGCTACTAAATACATTAATAATAAGCCAACATAATGACACAATTTAGAATTTGGAACTGTTTTATCTTTCCATTGAATTGAATTTTTATCCTTACGAAAGGGACCTCTATCTAAAAACACTTTTAGCTTTACAGTTTTTTTTTATTGTTATTATTGCTGTTTTATTGGATTAATGCAGCTACTTTAGTTTTCTTTTGGTTAATATAGTATTTTCTTTTTTTTTTTTTTTTTTTTTTTTTTTTGAGAGAAAGTGTCACTTTGTCACTAGGCTGGAATGTAGTGGTGTGATCTCAGCCCTCTGCAATCTCTACCTCCTGGCTTCAGGCGATTCTCATGCCTCAACCTCTTGAGTAACTGAGATTACGGGCACACACCACCACGCCTGGCTAATTTTTGTTTTTTTAGTAGAGAATGGGTTTTCACCATGTTGGCCAGGCCAGTCTCAACCTCCTGACCACGGGTGATCCGCCTGCCTGGCCTCCCAAAGTGCTAGGATTACAGGCATAAGCCATCACACCTGGCCAGTATTTTCATTCTTTAGTTTTCCATGTATTTGGGTTTGAGTTTTGGAAATAGAATAAGGTTGAGTTTTATTTTTGTTCTGAATGACAATCTTTATTTTTTAAATGGAGAATTTTAGTCAGTTGTAATTACTATAGGTTTAGATTTTTTTTTTTTTTTTTTTTTTTTTTTTTTTTGAGGCAAGATCTTGCTCTGTTGCCCAGACTTGATAGAGTACAGTGGCACGATTATGGCTCACTCTAACCTCGATCCGCTGGGCTCAATCAATCCTCCTACCTCAACCTCTCAAGTAGCTGGGACTTCAGGCATGCGCCACTGCGGTTGGCCAATTTTTAAATTTTTTGTAGAGATGGTATTCCACTGTGTTGCCTAAG